CCGGCAGGAGTCCGGAGCAGCGGACACACACCGGCGCACGATGCACCCGCACGTTTTGGGGCGGGGTAAGGCCCCGAGAGACTGTGGGATTCGGGACGGTGGTCCCAAAAGCTAAGCCCCAGAATAGTAGGGTTGGGAGCGTCTGGCACTGGCAGATGGGGGCTGAGCAGCAGGAAGCCCGAGGAAGAGGGCAGTTGGACTGGGTTGCACTACCTGAGTGGGAGGGAACCGGACAGCCTGGAAAGACAGGGGCCCCAGGTGGGTCAGAAGGCTCCCTTCTGAGGCCAGGAAAAGGGATTGCTGAGCGAGAGACGTGGACTCTGCTAAAAGCCTACATAGGGGCGCAAAGTCCGCAGCTCCGGACAAGAGCAGTGTTTGTGTTCGTCCTTTTTGCTATTTTTTTTGGTTGAAGTTTGTGCCCCGTGGGAGGGGAGATTTGAAGGACCGAAGCGGCTCGCCAGTGGCGGACACTTATGGAGGCCCGGGCGAGGGTGTAGGGGTGGAGGAGCCCTCAACAGCGACGGACCCTGAGCAGTGTGAAGTCTCATTTTTGGATGTGGACATGTCGGACCATACACTGAACTGGAGAATCATCAAAGTCGTGGCAGGCGGGTTGGATGCATGCGGCTCCTGAGTGAGTACTATACATAGCCGGGGAAACTGGTGGGACTTCTGCAGCGAAGGTGACGAGCGGACCCGTCCACACTTATGGACTAAATATTTAGTGAGTCTCTAAGTCTATATTTACATCTCTTCTATGGATCATTTAAATATCTAGTAGGTCTATAATGTGCATATCTCCCCTGCCATCTGCCTGACATCAGACTAACACGGCTAACTACCTCTCTGCTCGTGGAAGGAATGACTAAGGTTCCAAAAATAAGATGTCTGAAGGTCTTCTGGCCAATTTCACATTTATGAAATCCCAGAAAACAAGAGGCCTAGGTACTGTATTGACCAGCAAGCTGTGCAAAGCAATGACTCAGACAGCAGTTTGTTGTCAGGGTCAGACATGTCTAGACCTTAGACACTTGAGTCAAGCAAAAAGTTAGCAGGCCCTGTATGAGTCTGCCTGATGCATGAGGGAGCCTGGCAAATCCAAAGGAACTGACATATACTCAAGTGGTGTTTTCTGATTTCCAAGCCTTGTCCCTTTAACACAGACAGGATGCGATTTGCAAACTTGTCAGCCAGCTCATTATAGGTAACCTTTCTGGTCCCATGAAAATGTTTTCTAGTAGGGCTGTGCGAAGTGCTGTTTGATTTTGTTCTGTCAAAACTGTTTCACTGTTTCCAGGAGTGACACGTAGTGGGTCGTAACAGGGGGCCTTCTTGGGGCCCATTTCCCTGTGGCCTGCCGGCTTTCTTGTCTGCCACGCCTGGATGATAATTAATTAATTGATGTTGATTAAGCGGGAGGCTTCCCCAATGCCAGGGGGCGCTATCTGCGGCTCTGTTCCTCCCTTACACCGCAGCCCAAGCCTCGCAGATGGCATCCAGATGTTATCAATATCACCAGCCCCACACTGGGCCCTAGAATTCTACTAGTTGAACCCCATTTAGATCCCTCCATTCAGGCAGCCTATTCTGCCTTTATTCCCAGCTGCATACCTCCCTGAGCTGCTCCCCCTTACGGGTGTGGTTCCCCCCGGGACCTTTGGCTACTAGCCCTGGCCCAGCTCTAGTCCGGCCGGAACCCTAGGCCCTCAGCTCTTGGGCATTCCTCGTGGTGGGCCCCGATCCTTTCCCCTTCCAGTCCTGGCCCCAGCATTGTCCAGTCAGGGAATGTTCAGACAGGTTCTTGAGTCTATGGTTTCACGCTATCTTTGGGGTCCACCTTCCAGACCCTACAAGGGGGTAACCCACCTGGCTGTGGGAGCTAGGGTTAAGATGCCCCAACCTGCCTTTCACCAGGGTGGTAACTGGTTTGGCATTTCTTCAGGGCTTCCACGCCACTGAGAGCCCCACCAGGCCACTCACTCCTGACAGGGTGCAGTTTTAGGTCATGCCCAGGACCAGGAGCCTCCAAACCATCCCCTACAGCTCCTCCCTGACCTCCAGAATACCAGCAGCCCTCCAGCCAGGCAATATTGTTGCCTGGCCTCCCAGCAGCAAAATGCCCTGTTTATATGGGCAGCCCTGAATCTAAAATGGCTGTCCTAATCAGGCACCTGCCAGCTGTTGTCTTCTGGCCTTTAAAGTGGCAGGCACGCCCTGAGCATGGTGGTGCACCCCCTGCAAAAAGGTGCCACTGACACTGTAAGTGGTGCCTGTGGGTGGTCGCCACTCGCCACCCTGCCGCCGACACCGCCATCAGTGTCTGAGGGCAGTCCATGATTGCCCTGGCTGCTGCCGATGCTATCGGCAGTGCCTGTGGGTGGTTGCTGATCCCTAGTTAGCACTCGGCACTCCCTTCCAACCCCCCAACCCGGCCACCGACAGCACTGGCGGCATCTGCAGGAGCTCCCAGTCTACTGCCGCTGGGCACCCACCACCATGCTCCTGCTGCCGCCAGTATAACCGTGCCCCCCTCAGCCACCAGGGGCATGCACCATTCATGGCTGTTCTGACACATTTTGACATTTCGCCTATAGGCTATAATGGGGAATCATGAAAATGCCTAGAACTTTGTCATTTCTTGCCTGATTCAAATGAAAATTGCAGGGGTGGTAGTACCTTGTGAGGACATGAAGCCTGGCAAGTTTTCAAGGAGGTAGGTGCAATGGTTTCTGGGAAACTGCACATCAAACTGTTCAAAGCAAAACTTATCACTTATTGGCAGTGGCAGCCTGCTGCCATCCCATGCGCAGAACTGGCTAGGGGCAGCGCCAGCGCTGGGTTTTTCCCAGCGCTCAGCATGGGCTGTACCAGGAAGAACCCCATGCTGGTGCTGGCCTCATCTGGCAGTGGCAGTATGCTGTCATCCCATGCGCAGATCCACGGGTCCACACCCCCTGAAAGGAGTCTGTCACAGCCCCACAGCCCTCCTGCTGGGTGCAGGCCCCTGCATCTGCACGCAGGGTTTCAGCAGGCTGCTGGTGCTGGCTGGGGAAATAGCCTAGAGCTACCACCCTCACTAGCTGGCAGTGGCAGCCTGCTGTCATCCCGCATTATGTGGGGACCTGTTTCCCCTCGGGAAGAGCTGGGCGAAGCGATCAGAGAGGTGGGGGAAAGATCAGGGAGCTGGGGAATCCAACTGGGAACTGGGGGGCATGTTCAGGGACCTGAACTTTCCCCCAGCTTCCTGTTCGATTCCCCAGCTTGCTGATCACTTCCCCAAGCTCTCTGACCATTTCCCCAGCTCCTCCTGAGGGGTGTGGGCCCCCGATCTGCGCATAGGCCCCCGATCTGCGCACAGATCAGGGGCCCGTGTCCCTGGGAAGAGCTGGAGAAATGATCAGAGAGCTGGGGAATCAAATAGGGAGCTAGATGTCAATATCAGAGCAGTCCTCCCCCCTTCTCCCTTCCTTTCCTTAATTTCTGTTTAGCTGCAAGCAAGCCGGCTTCGAAACTCGAACCATTTTGAAATGTTGCGGGTGCCCTCTTTTTGAAACTGTTTCAAACCCTTTTGTTTCATTTCGGTTCTGCTGTTTTGAGTTTGAAACGTGACAAAACAGCTTTAAAATAAAACACCCAGTGAAATTTCATACAGCCCTACTTTCTAGCTCAGGGACAAGAGGAACAAACATTATAGGAGGAGGACAGTGGGATGAGGCAGTATTAGCTGGTTGTAGAAAACTCACTAATATTTTTCCTCTTTGATCTTTACCATGCAGGAGAAAGAAAAGGTTTAGTTTGCAGGCTGTACATCTCTTCTATGGATCGCTTTAAACTAAATCAAAATTATTCACAGGAAACCACCTGTACAGCCAGACCCTGGGTCTGTGAACTGATATCCTGCCATGCAGTAGCAAGACTACAGCTACAGACCAATTGGTTTACCACCATTCTCTTCCATTTGGCAGCTGGCACTGAGGTTCGCGTGCACGAGACCATGAGTTTAAAGTTGTGAAAACTGCCGGTCCCAGAACACTAACAAAATAGGAGGTTTGAACAATGTGTATGGATGATGATGGAGTAGTTTTGAGGCTGTTTGCAACTGTACAGCAGGGGTCAAAGGTAGCAAATGGTATCTCCTCAGAATAAACACCAGCCCCGGTTTTGTATGCCCAGAAGTTACTTGCATCTTTTTTCCTGCCCCCAGGTCTTCGTGTGGAAACCAGTTGATTATTTACTTATCTGTTTGTGGCAGAGCTGCACAGTGGATTTGATTTTCCTCTCACTATAGGGAAATCTCATTATAGCAACAGGCCAGCTGTCCTCCTGAAACATTTTGCATCAAGTGTTTGAAGAGTGAATCAGCTTTTGCTGAAAGTTAAGTCGCAGCGAGTAGCTTTGGTTCAACCTGGCTGACTTAGCCTGGTTGGAAATATAAGCAATCCTATGTTCAGTGCAACTGACAGAAGATCAAAATAAAGCCAAAAATTCACACTGGAGCTATTAAATTCACTAGCTGCCCTAGTTTCTTACAGATGGGAGTAAGGTGTGGTTAGGCAGAAATTGAAGGGGTAATATATTACGTAGAAGGAAAAACAGCCAGCCTGTGAAGGTCACACTCTCCTTGCTGTATCGTGATATTATTGGGTGACCTGCAACTCACTCTTTTCACTCCCCTGTCATTGGTTCATCTAAACACATCTCTGCAAACATTGTTTTGTGCAATCATGATCATTAGAAGGATAGGATATGTCAGTCCAGGAAGTTGCCCTCTAAAATGCAAGAGAGAGGAACCAGCCTGTTTATTCCCCTGAAGAAATAAGTGAAACATCTTTATTACAGGACATTTTGAAGGAGGAATTGCTCTGGTTCTTTGGTTTCAGTGCTGTCAAACCCAAACGGAAGCCCTTTTTAAAGCTTAGACAAACCACCTTAACTCAAAGCAGGAAGCTGTCTGCCCTGGCATTCACCAATCAGATAAAGGGAAGGGTGGGACAGCTATGCAGCTTGCATAGTATTCACAGGCAAGGAAAGGGAAATGACATGCCAGCTTCAGCATTTCATGTGCAATAACTGTTTTGGGAGCTGTGTAGGGATTGCACTGTAGCCTCTGCGGGAATTTAAAGGGAGGAGGTAGGGGTGTTTCTATAAAACAGGGTGCCAGATGGCTGAAGGAAGCTACCCAAACAGTCAGGCTGGTAGTGCCGATTTCCTTCAGAGTGATATTGGGGACGGCCTGGAAATCCATACCAGCCGGACTCATTGTTTCAACTTCGGTGCCACAAATAGAAATCCAGGTAATGTAAGTAGAACAAAAATAGAATGATCAGCCGAGGAATTCCAGCATCCACCCCCAGCTTGTTCTCTGAGACGCAGCTTTCCTTATTTCCTGCCTTGCTGCCTTAGGTGCTGGTATTTACCAGGATCTATACCCTGGCAATAACTCTGGGGCTGGGAAAAACACTAGGGAGTTTTCACTCGTCTTTCAGGGTGCATGTGGGGAAGGGGAAAGAGGGGAATGAAGGAAGCTGCATTTTTTTTTCCTTGTTAAAATACTGGATGTGCAGGAATCAGCTTTATATTGGCTTTTCCAGATGGACATGTGCAGATCTACAAACTGAACTTTGTAAATCTGGGTTTTGTTTGTTTTCTATGCTCCTATTCATTTGCCATTCTCTTAAGGAAGTACAAGCCCATGGAGTAGGTCTATGCATATGCATGTGCAGCATGTGTGTGTGATTTATCTGTATTTCCATATGTGTGTGTGCATGTATATGAAATCACTGGCTATTTTTTCCTGTATTGATCTGCCATTTTAAGCCTACCCAGTTGTCCTCCCAACTGAAATGGATTTGTGGTGGGACTTTCAAAGGATCCAGGCACCTGACTTCCACAGGTGTTTCTCCTTCTGTGTCTCAGTTTAAGCTGCTAGGCTGCTTTCCTAGCTCATGGAAGTTTGGTGCCCAGGTGCTGTTGAAAATCCCACTGTTAGCATTTACAGTTCTGTCCTTGAGGGCTGGTTATAACAATCCTAGCTCCTATGTAGCACGTTTCTTCAGTAGCTCTCAAAGGCCTTTCAAAAGAAGGTCAGTAGTGTTATCTTATTTTTTTTTCTTTTTCCAGATGCAGAAACTGAGGCACAGAGAAGTGAAGTGACTTGCCCAAGGTTACCCAATAGGCCAGTTGCAGAACTAGGAAAAGAACCCAGGTCTCTTAAGCCCAAATCTAGTGTTCTACCCATTAGACCATATTGATTTGTATAACACAAGTCATGCTTCTCTATTATAGAGAAAACCCAGTACTGCCTCCTCATAACAGCCTTAATGGCATAGTCCATGCATGTTGTCTCACATATTTACTGTATTCTTGAAACAAAGTGCCTTATCAGTATCTGAAAAACAGAATATGAGCCAAATTTTCACAATGGTCAGATTTTCAAGTGCTCAGAACTGCTAATCAGGACTGCTTTTGAAAAGATCTCAGCTGCTCCTAGTTGGGCACTGATCAGGACCAGAGTTTGCAGTGCCATGTACCCAGCAGCTGACATTGTGACACTTAGGTCCATATTTCTAAATGACCTCAAGTCCCAACATGCATCCAGTGTGCAGAAGTCCTGGGGAAATCTGACCACATATATTGTTGCCTACATAGGAGCAAAGTCCCTTTTGAAAATTCTGATCTATGTATGTTGGAATGAAGCATGTAAAATCTGTTTGCTAAAACTAATTACTAACTTACCATTTGTCCATAATTAAGGCTGCAACTAAGTTTCCCCTTCAGTTTTTATGGAAGCACTGTTTAACAATGAATGAACCTCAGAAGTTCCATATATATCCCCCAACACTAATCTTGGAATATTTCATCTGAAATTACACAAATGATCTGTGCCTTCTGGATCTGCTGAACTGGTCTACAAACCTTGGCAGAACAGCATCTTTCAACACCTTTTGGTACTTCTCTGTTGCTAGCTGCATCTAGGAAAGACAGACCTGATCCTGAGGCATGGCAGAAGAAAAGCCTTAGCTGAATACTTGTAACTTGAGCAAAGGTCGCTTTCTGGATTTGTCCAAATTGCGGCTGGAGGATTAGGTCATTTCTGTCTACCCATCCTTAGTGGGTGGCAGCTTGTTTTGTTGCATCATATAATCTCAGCAAGTACTTCCTTAGTGCTGAACCTTGTCTAGAAGGGTTTAATAAGCGAAAGGGGTAGCCCAGAAGCTGGAAACATTTAGACCCAAATTCTGTTTCACCTCTAAGGCACAATTCTGATACCCTGAAAAAACATTAACACAACAGGTGAGCTTTTTTCACTTTTAAGTCTAAAGTGACAGCATGTTACAAAGAATTGATGCATTAATGGCTTTTCAAAGCCTCAGAGTTGGGTAGGTTCTCACTTAGCCATCTTACTGCTCAGAGAGGATTTGGGCCTTAATATTTATGTGAGGAAGGAGAAGCCTGTTTGCACAGTAGAGGAGCTAAGTTAAAGGCTGAGTAAGGAACAAGAACTACATTGGGAAGGGGACCTGGGAGGGTTTGAAGGGGTAATTAAAGATCATGTGGAGGTCAGGAGCTGATGTGGGTTTGCCAGATTGGGACACAGCTTTCTCTATCAGGAAAACGTCATAAATATCAGACTAGTAGGACCATGCAGCAAGTGGCTTAAGGAAATTGTAGAATCCTTCTAATAAGTTTCCAAAAAGAAGCTGGATAGGAACAGCTCATCTTGCCCCTGTGTAGGGGGTTGGATTAGATTACCCCTGAGGTCCCTTCAAACCTTATGGGTCTGTGTTTGGCACCTGGACTAAGGAGACAAGAGACTCAGGAGGGGCAGGAGTATTTTGGTTTTTGAGGACCTGATTTGCATACATAGCCAGGTTTACCAAGCTGGGGAGATTCCCTAGGCTGCTTGCATCCCTCATGGCTCATCAGTGCTATAGCAGAGACCTGTCTGCGCCAGCCCCAAGCATGCTCCTGTCCACCTGTGCATCCAGTGAGACCACTCTGGGGGCATCCCAAGCAGTTGCTTTCATGCACACTAGAGACTGTGCTTTTGGGAGTAACCTCAGGGGGTCAGCCCAGAGAACCTTCACTAGCTTATTTCCTGGTCTAGAGAGTGCTCCTGCTGGGACAGGTGTGGGTAAGTCTTGCTTGGGAATGACCTAACTGGGACATGTTGCTGCTACCTCAGTGTAAACAGGCCTTTGGGTCACATTTCTGTAACAAGACAGCACTGATAGCCACCATGCTGCCTCCTGCAGCTGACCAGGTCATAGCCTCAACTCCACCTCATTGGAAAGGCAGGTGACTGCCGTACATTCAAAAGCAGTGGGATGATTTTTCTTCAGGCTCCTCCAGCAGTAGGTAAAGAGAGGGAGAATGGGGTAAACAGCAGGGGCATGAGGAGGGTTTAGGGGATAGGGAATTGAGAGTAGTGAAGGGGAGGATGGAAGGAGTCCAGAAGACAAAATGAGGAACAGGAAGGGGAGAAAGACACCAAGAGAAACCAGAACAGCAGAGCTTGGTGCAGGGAAATGGTGCAGGTAGACACCTACTTGTACTCAAGAGTGTGTAAAGATCCTGGCCCATATCATGCACCTATTGTGCTGGGTGCTATGCACATGTAGAAGGGGGACCCCTCTTATTTCTCCCCCTTCAAACCTTCAATGCAAGTGCTCCAGTCAGCTTTACAGATAACATGCCTTCCCTCTGGGCACTGACCTGATGCATTATCTTCCCCTCTAGAGACAGGCCTTTCATTTCCCCAGACCATCTCCAGCTCTGTCTAGTGCTGTGGTTAGTATTGCAATGCCACTTTGCTTTGTATTTTGGCAGCTGCTAACCATTGCTATCAATGCCCTGCTGTGTGAGGTGAGTGAAAGCACAGGCTGGGGGAGAGGCAGTGTCTCCTGGACTAATGCAAGTGGCCCTGTCTCCAGCGCAGGTCGTAATCTGAAGGAGTGGCTGAGGGAGCAGTTCTGTGACCACCCTATTGAGCATTGTGAGGACACGCGGCTGCATGATGCTGCCTACGTGGGGGACCTGCAAACACTCAAGAGCTTGCTGCAAGAGAGGAGCTTCCAAAGGTGTGACCTTTGCTCATCCTCCCACTACCCAACCCCACCCATCTCTTCTCCCCCACATCTCTTAGGGCTCCTATACATATACAGGGAGGCTGTTTGCATGCACTGTAATTACAGCATGTTGGAGTAGACTTGATCAATGAAGGCTGCTGGAGCATGGTAATTACCATGTTCCAGCAGACTCCAGCATCATGTGTATCAGCGTTCGGTGCCCACTACCAATTTTCAGCATGGGGACGCTGATACATGTGACACTCCAGGCACTTTTATTAGCATGGCTCTTGGAGCTATGTTAATTAAAGCGCCCCCCACCCCTCCCAGAGCACAGCTATAAATGTCCTTAGATTCTGCTCTGTATGCAACACTTCCTCTGAAAGGCTTAGAAGATGGTGGGGCTGCTCCTCGTTCCTTTAGATAGGCTATAAGCTACCAAGTAGGGCCAGATCCCCAGCTGGCATAAACCAGCACCACTGCAGTGACCTCAGTGAAGCCACATCCATTTACACCAGGGTGGGCAAAATATGACCCATGGGCCGGATGTAGCCCAGCAGGCCATTCTATCCAGCCTGTGAGGTCCCTAAAAATGTAGAAAATATTTATCTGTTCCTGGCTGCCTGTCAAAGATGACAGGAGCCAGGGGCAGTAGGACCCAGGGGGAGCCTCAGCAGGAATGCAGCAGCTCAGCCCACCCCACCCACAGCCATTTCCCTGCCTTCCTGCCCCCACACTGCTCCAGCACCATGTGGCTCCCAGCTGCATCGCCTGACTGGGGAGCATGGGGCCTGTGTTGGTACCAGTGTGTGTGTGGGGGGGGGGTGAGTCCCACCCCCCCCCACCATACACATACACCCACATCTCCTCTCGCACTGCCATACACACAGACCCCCACAAACCCCATACCCACCCACACTCCACATATCCACATACACATACCCACATGTTCCCTCACCCCACACCCACACCCCCACACCTATCCAACCTCCACAGGCACACCCACATCCTCCCCTACACCCAACATACCCACACAGCCACACACCCACATCCCCCCACAAACTTATACCCACCCCCACACAATATGAAAGAGCAAGACTTCATTTAAAGCTATTATATACAATCACCTCTGTGCAGACTGGTATTTTTATGGTTCTGAGATGGGAAAACCCCTTGCTGAAAGGAGTACTTCTTAGGGCAAGGGGAGTGACTTCTGGTGGCAGAAGTCAGGGGTTAGGAGGCAGGACTTCCAGTCAGAAGATGGCAACCAGGGGGTGGGGCACCTGTCAAGAGGCAGAGCTACCCATGTGGCCCTCAACAGCTTGCCAAAACTGGGTAAGCGACTCTCTGCCCAAAATAATTGTCCCTCCCTGATTTACACCTGCTAAGGACCCACCCCACTGACTCGGGTGGAGCAACGGAGATTTATGCCTACTGGAGACTTAGCCTGTTAGCTGCAACAGTGGGGCAGCAATTGACACAAGCTGGAAATCTCTCCCACATACGTGGCAGGTTCATTATGTTTCGTTTAATCAAATCAGTGCAGTCTAGCTTGGGGCATATGAGTTCCTCAGTGCTTTGTGGGTAGTATTGGGACTATTTGTTCCTATAATATTAGCAGTCATAGGCCAAGCTTCCTGTCTCAGCTATGCCAATGCCTGTCCTCGTGATCTGCTCTGAAGGAAACATCTGGAGGGACATGGGAGCAGTTTTTTCCCCTGGCCTGTTTCATTCGTGGCCTCTCAAGTGTGACCACTATGCAGTGGGTTTCTCTGTGGGGATACTGAACACCTAGTATTTATCTCATTTCACATGCAGCCAGCTGCAGAATGGTCAAATGTTAACAGCATGTGCATATGTTTGGAGAGGGAGCTTCAAAAAGGCCAGGGTGGAGGGACAAGATGAAGTCTGGTTCAGAAAAAAGATATAGATACCCCGTTTCAGCTGGTTCTTGTTAGAACTTCTCAAAATTACAATTCCTCAGAGTCATCCTTTCCCCCTCTGCCCTGTGCACCCTTGGCAAACTGTTACTGAATCTGGCAGTTTGTCCTCTAGTGCTTAGACGGTACTGGGATCTTCAGGGAAGAATTGGCTGTCATGAATTCCACCTGTCTTGCAGAGCACACTGATCCCTACACCCGGTACTGCTGAGCAACTCAGTCCTTTAAAATGTTAAGAGTATCCTTGAATTTTACACCTCTGGAGCCCACTGCCAGAACTGTAGACCTTATGGGCATGCAGGGAAGGAGGGGAGATGAACACCTGCTCCAGTATTTCCATATCATTAGCAGATCCCTCAGTGCACTCTGAGCTGTGCCTTTCTTAGCTTAAAAGGGGCAGCTTGGTGGGACCCAGGGGGTCTTAGTATTGGCAAAAATACCTTGCTTAATTTACAGAGGCTTCATCTCTGGTGACAGGCTGCTCAGATAGCCCTTGATATTACCCAAAGTAATCCCAGCTGAAGTAGATTTCAAGTTTGTAATGCAAGGTTAATAAATATCCAACCTCCACTTATGAATACCCTTCAGATCATCATGGAAATATAATAATGTGAAAATAGGAGTCAAAATATAATGACAAAACCATACAAAAGACATTATAATAAACTATAAACTGAAACGCCCTATGTAAAAATATATATACATATATTGGTCAAGTTAATGTCTATGGCTGTTGGGGTATTTAATTAATTTTCCTGTATTGTGGAATAAACTGCTGTTGACCCAACCGAAGCCTTAAGTTGCCTTTTCAGCAAGAATCAAAAGGAGGCAGCCCTTCCAAAATTGTAGCACAGCTTTGGTAGTTCTCCCTTTTTTATACAGTCTGCTAAGTTTTGTCAACTTTCCATCTGTTACCTTTTTGTGCCTTACTTAATTTATATTAGTATGAAGAAGGCCTGGTGTGCCAGGCACTGTACACAAGCATACTGAGAGGCAGATGCAAATGCTTTGTTATCTGTAGAAGGCAACATAGAGCTGTAGGGTTAGAAAGGATCTCCTGGGTTATGTAGACCAACTCCTTGCACAAATGTGGGACTCACTGTTTCTTTACCATCCTAGATATGTGCCCATCCAGCCTCTTGCAAATTTCCTGTGAAGAGGCCTTCCTGGCTTCCTCTAAGCACCTTTGATACTATTCCTGCTGTCAGAGAGCTTTTTTCTGAGATTTGATCCAAATCTTCTTTAGATAAGGGATGGAAAATGAAGACAAGTGATAGGGGTGTAGATTGTAGCTGTGACAAGTGATCGGACAAGTAATAGGGATATGAAGTACTATTATCCCCATTTTACAGTTGGAGAACTGAGGTATGGAGAGGTGAAGGGATTTGCTCAAGAATATCAGCAGGTAAGAGGCAGAAAGAGGAAGACAACCCAGGTCTCCTAACGTCTAAGGTATTTCCCTCAGCTTTGGACTGCACCACTGAGGATGCTGGTATGCTAATGATCTCTTGGTCTCTGGGGTCTTGTCAACAGAACTGATAGTTTGGTTACCTGGCAAACCCTCTTAATTTAGGCACAACTTATATGGCAAAGAAGTGCTTTGGCTGGTATAATTTATACAGTTTTGATGAATGAAAGAGACTTTACTTGTAAAATATTTTTTAATGCCAGTGCAAGTGCACCTATGCCAGGACTTTCATTTGTATAGAAAGGTTGTGAAAAAAAATCACACCCACTCCTAAATGACCCAAATAACTAATTCTTTCCTGCCTTCTCCCTGCCATTAATTCCTTCTTTTGGACTCATTCTGGTCTCATTGCACTTAACGCTTCCAGGTATAGCCTCGGGGTGGGTGGGTACATGGTTTGGCTTCTCCTGTACATGGCTCCAGGCAGGTTTTAAAAGCATTTTTAAGATGTTCTGTCTCTAACAAATCTTGTTTGTAAATTATCAGTTTGCTAGTGCAATGGTGGCTTATTTCTGTCCTTTTATAATATTATATTATATAAGCAGAAATGAAAATCCATCTTGGAGAAAGAGAGCTTTACTCTTTGAGAGGAAGGGTGGTGGGTAGTTAAAGTGGAACCTAGGTGAGATCTGGCTTTGGTCCCCAGCTCTGTTGCCATCTGCCTTTGAGCAAGTCACTGAATCTCTCTGTGCCTTGGCTCCCCATACATTAAATATGGATAATAATTCTTCCTTTGTCTATTTAGATGGAAGGCTCTACAGGGCAAGGGTTAACTTATCCTATGCTTACCGCATGTAGCTCAAAGGAGTTCTGATGTTGGCTGGGATTTGTAGGCAGTAGCATAGTATACATGACTTGTGAGACTCCTTGAGACAAGATACAAAACTTAGAGGGAAGGTACCCCTGACTTACCCAGGCATACAGGGCTGTAGCAAAGCAAATACCACATGTATTCACACATCATTCTGACATGTTGCTTTGCCTCTTCTGCTCAGTCGAATCAACGAGAAGTCTGTGTGGTGCTGTGGTTGGCTGCCTTGCACCCCCCTGCGAATTGCTGCCACTGCTGGCCATGGCAATTGCGTGGACTTCCTCATCCAGGAAGGGGCAGAGATCGACTTGGTAGATGTGAAGGGGCAGACAGCCCTGTATGTGGCCGTTGTGAATGGGCACCTGGAATGTGCAAAAATCCTGCTGGAGGCTGGCGCGGACCCCAACGGGAGCCGGCATCACCGCAGCACTCCTGTGTACCATACCTCCCGCGTGGGCCGGGCCGACATCCTGGCAGAACTGATCAGGCAAGTATTGTTTGCCCCTTTTAATTCCCACAGAAGCCTCTATTTCTGAGGTGTCATATCTTATATGTAGCATCCAAAGCCATGGTTAAAGAAGGTCAGAGGTCTGCCTAGTGTTGTTAAAGTAGTACAGTGAGTGTCCAAACCTATCATACTAACCATCTTCAGTCTCCTCAACATCTTGTCCCTGGCTTCCTTCCCCTTACAATATAAAAATATCCTGGTCTCCTCCATCCCCAGAAAACCTTCCCTCAGCCCCCATCACGTCACCTTTCCCCCACTCTTTAAAGTCACTGAATGCAGCATAATCTATAATCAGATAGCTGGTTTCCTCAGCTCTGTTGTGGGTGCCAGCTGTACTGGCTTCCAGTGCCACAGCCCTTGCTAAACATTCCCGTCTTCAATTCCATCTGCTCCATATCTATTCCATATCTGCTGCCACCTTTAATTTAAGCCTCCTGTGATCACCTTCAAAGCTCTGCATAATTTCCCTATGACTCTGATTTATTTTCCCTAAGCATCCCTGCTCCACCCTTTTTTACCTGCCTCTTGGTCAGATGCTCATACCATCATCTCTGAACTTTCATCTGCACAGCTGTCTGCGCATGCTGTCACCAGACTGAGCCCATCACTAAGGCTCTTACTTTGGCCTCTTCTAAATCCTATTAACAACCCACCTTTGCTCTAAAGATTTTATGTACTGTCCGTCATCATCTGCTTTTCCCATCTCTTTCTATCCTTCGGAGTATGTGAATTAAACAGAATAGAAACTACCCCTTCACAAGAGTTTGGAAGGTGCCCAGCCAGTGTATAAGTAAACATTGCAATACTATGCTTAACACCTCCTTAATTAAAGAGCAGTGATGTTACCATATGATTCAGTCTCTGGTAGGTGGAGAAGTAAATTCACTCCCTCTAGTGGTAGGTAGTGTAAAGGGAATGCTGTATAAATCAGTGAAAAAGTGGTAGAAAATAAAGATACTGAATAGCATGCCAGCTAAGGGGACAGATGCTAAATTTTATTCCTTGGGGATCATGCATTCATTTTGCAAGGCTAATGAGATTGAAAAAAACCCCAGGCAAAGATTTTTGGTCTGTAAGCAAAGCACCTCAGTAAGATGCATTGTTGTAACACCCTCCTGGGTGTGAGAAGCCATTCTGCAAAGCCCAACATGACTCATCGTATACTCTGTGGTGTTACTGCTGTGTTACTATGGCTTCTGGAAACATAGCTAATGTTTGTGTGATGCAGTAAGCTGAGCCACTCTGCATCTCTCCCAGTCAATTGTGGAGAACACATATGAGCCTTTAGGCACACAAGCAGAATTGTGGGAAGGCACTGGGGGATGATTGCCTCTTGAGTGGTTTAGCCTGCATTGTTCTTGCAAAGTGGGTGTGTTAGTAATACCAGTGAAGCTGCACTTGAACTTTAGCCTACAACCACAAGGGAGCCAGCTAGCCCAAGGTCATAGCACCATGAAATGCGGGTGGGGCTTGGGTCAACAACTGATGGAGCCCAAGATAACTCTACGGTAAAGACATATGCTAAATATGGATGCGGGAATCCTGCTTTGTGGAAATCAGAACCTGTTGCTCATTATGAACTTATTGTAGTCATAATACTGCATTGGATCTGTGGACAATCTGGTCTAGTATCCTGACTCCAGAAGTGGCGAGTGCCAACTGTTCAGAGGAAGCTGCAAAAAACTCTACCCTGCTCTGTGCCCCAGCAAATTTCCTCCTTGTGTCTAGTAGCTAAAGGTATTGCTTTAAGGTATTAAGCAGGGTTGTTGGAACTAAATTGTTAGTGCTGTTTTAGGAATAGATTAGACATGGAATGGTTTGGATTGGGATGTTCCTGTTTTGAGTAGAGAGTTGGACTAAATGACCCCTCAAGTTCCCTTCCAGCCCTATTTTTCCACGATTGTGTGATTCTTAACAGACAGGCTCAAAGCTTCTGTTAGTGGGCTGTGCTTCATGTCCTGAGATCACCAACTTTCTCATGGCCTCCAGGCTCTTTGTCTAAGGGGTTCTGCCAACACCTTTATGTATGCGATGAAGCTGCCAAATCATAATATTGTTTTTTTAAAAAAACCAAAAAGATAAAAAAGGTTATGTGATTACCTATAGGAATGCCCTCCAAAGAGTTCTATTTGATAGTATATGACGGCAAAAAAACTTGGATGAATTATGAGGATTATTTGAAATACTTGGAGAATTTTTCCTTCTTTGGGTTAGGAGGAAAAGTTTTCAAAGGAAGTACACCTTTAAGGAAAATGACTAATGGAAAAGTGGAGAGAAGGGAGGGGACATATTATTTTGTAAGATGAGACAAGGATGTCCCCATCAACCATGCTATTTGCGTTGGCTCAAAATTTGGGCTCAAAAGCGACATTCCTTAGAATCTCCCCCAATATATCTGCTAACACAGAATGAAATGTAGCAAAATGGTATTTCAGAGCATGATGAGCTGATGTATTGATTTATATGTCTACCCCTAATGATACCTTGCCAGCAATATTAAAAGTGAGAGTCTGGAAAACTTTCAGGATTAAAAATTAACTGGAGTTTGTCCAATATCTTTTTATTAGGCAATGTCTGTCCCAAGGCTGCTAAGTTAATACCAGATTGTCATATTGCCCAAGATTTCAATATCTTGGAATACAGATTTCAGAGATCTTTCCAGAATGGCTTACTTTGAAACACAATCCTATGTTAAAAAGCTCAGTAAAAGATTTTATTATATTCCTCTAAAATACTCCCTTTCCACGTAAGTAACAAAATGACAATTTTTTGCTAAGTTATAATTATGCATTTCAGACTACTGCTGTTGAAACAGCACCCTTCTCCATCACCAAGAGTTCTCAAAAATATACACTCAGTTCCTTATCAGTCAATGAGATTTTTTTTCCTGTTAACATAGGCTCTTTCCAGTTCCCTTTATTCAGGCATTTTTACTCTACCCATTTTTTTTAATCGTATGGTAACACATTTATAGTTCCTGGACTCCTGAATCCAACCACAATTGCTGAACCAGATTACTAAGCAGTAAGCAGGAGCTGATAGGACATTATATGTGAAACTGTATCGACTAATAGTAAATACACACCTAGCAATGGAATGGTAATCCATTTTCTAGTAAGACTCTGGAGGAAATATTTACAATTATATTGCTAGGGTATAGATTACTTTCCTAACAGCTTGTTATACAATCATCCTGTGTTGGGATGGAGTATTGCATCATACTTTCAGTCTAGCTGAAGGCTGATCCAAGATATTAGGTGATATGTGTATTCTGCTCATTTCATTAAAAGCAGTGTAAAAAAAGACAGTGGTGAATCGAGTCAGTTTCTAAAAAAGGTGTCTATTTTTATTTTAAAAATCATAATTAGCATACTGTTTTTTGCCACAGAAAATATTAATAAAAAGGGAGAGGGGAGGGGAATTGTAGAATTTTAAGGGAGTGCCTAGCAGTGGTATATACTGTAGGACAGTCTGGCCAGGGGTCCAGACCCATAGATGGAAATTGGGCACAGTAGACACACAAATTATGAATGCCATGAAACACTACACAGCATGTACCTATAGAAATAGCTTGTTTTTAGCCTAAATATTTTGGTTTTCTAATAGTCATTTGTTTGACAAACTGAAATCTTCCACGGAAAGCAGGCACTTTTTATTAAAAATTGAGCATAGTTAAAAACACAATTTTTGGTTGAAAAGCATCTTGATTATATGTTTTTAACCAGCCTTACTAACTTGTGAAGAGATCCCATTCCTTAGGGTTAGTTGTGTGAGGAGCTGCACTGAGTGGGCTTAGGTCCCTTGCCATTTTCTAGAAACATTTAACATAATTAAAATGTTTCTCTATAGAGAAAGCTTTCAGTGCAATATGGCCGTGACTCAACTGAGCATACTAAAAACCACTCTGATAGGGGTATCCCCTTACAGAGCAGATGTTCTCTGAATTACTCTCTCTCTCCCTTTAGCTTACGCCCTGGCCAAATAAAACGGAGCTGGTGTGTTGTGACTATGGACGAGCCGAGGGATAGCAGCTGCATAGCTTTCTGTCCTCTGTGCCTCCCCCAAAGATCTTTCCAAGATCTTCTGAGGTGTTGGCCTATGTACCATACTCTGTACTTGTCACTTTGAGTAAATATGCTCAAAGTGACAAGTACAGCCTTGGATCTGCTTGTGTTGACGCCAGTCCTCCAACTAGTTCTGCATGTGCTTAACTGCACACAGAAAATACAACTATTTAATTAATTGTGTCTTTAAAGGTAAATCACATGTAGACTTTTCTGCAGGATCAGTGCTATAAACCTCAGTCACTGCACTGAGAGATGCATTAGCAGGTAGAGAGAATTTGGCCCAAAAGGTTTTTCCTATTTGTTTTATTGACTGTAAAGAGGAAAATTACAGTATACAGGAAAGTAGAAAAACCTCATTCTCCAAATGCTTGGATTACAAATCCAAGTGAGTTATTAAAGGCTGGAAGAATGTTTTATTACTGTGAAGGGAAAACACAGGACTACTTGATCTAGATTGCTGCAAAGAAATACTTTAAAATGGTTGCTGTTAGAAGGGTAGCCTGCCCCTTGTCCCACATTCCAGTATATATGACATAGATGCAATTATGACATTCAGTACCTTGTGCTCTCTCTATATCGATGGATATATAAAATATAGCACATTGCTAATATTGTTATCTGTTACTTGCAGCATTGCAGTTTTTCAAAAGAAATATTTTTTAAAGGAGGCAAACATTCTCTGTGCCATCCCTATTTTCTTGCCATCACTCAGCTTGAAATTGGACACCCATATTTGCTGTTCAATCAGTATATGATAAAATTAGTACGTATATCTATAGCATAACAGCATAGGGTCTCAATGTATGGGGTGGGATTTTTGTCACCGATTTGTACTGGATTGACAGCTCTCACTCAAATCTGCTAACTTCAATAGGTGCTGTTGCACCCAAGCAGAAAAGCTATGAGAATCCTTTGCTGAAATTGTTTTGCACTGTACCATTAGAACCAACTGTTCTCACTCTGCCTGATCTACAGGAATTGTGTTTGTCACAGCCCCAGCTAAGTGATGGTGTTCTCACTCAAGCTGTAGCAGCCTGTGGTTTTTGCCCAAAAAGTCCCTAGTTCAAACCTTAGTGTATGGACCAAGATAGCTGCTGTCACACCAATAATAATTAGAGTTTAAAATATCCCATGCAGTGTTCCGGCATGCTAAATGTAATCAGTAACATGATGATTCATATGTTTTTTAATTTTAGCATAGGAAAATACAAATGTTTATGAAGGGATGGTTGGAAGCCTGACAGGATTATTTTATATTTTCCCCATTTCCTATGGGTTTGGAATTTGGTGCATTCATTTAGCATGAACTTCTGAATACAGGGGAATATCCCTGCATTTGACTTTATGACTGGATTTCAACTATCCAAGTTCCCTCTGGAATAAGAATCATGACACTTGTTACATACCTCTGTTTAACAGCAGTATTTTTTTTCGGTTTCCTTTGGTGTTTGCAGCAGTCAAATCTGTGGCTCTAACACATTGGCTCATCATCCTCTCCCAGGTGGGGAAGTTATTTTCATGCATCTACAACACCCCTTCAGTGAGAAGCTGAGTCATTTGGACAACCCCCAGCCACACCATTAATGGTAGATTTTCCATGCAGCTTACTCAAAGCTGAACAGTCAGCTATAGTATGCAGATGCTTAGTGTGGTCATTAGTGGGAGAAGAGAAAAGTGTTTTGGAGTCACCCCTTCTCTCTCTTGATCATAGAGCTATTAACCACTCTATGAAAACCACTTGGCCAGCTGAATATGGTGAGGGCTGTGCACTCCTTGTTCTGTCACCAGCAGTCCCTCCCTGCCTCTCTATAGGCTCGTCTACACGGGGACACTCAGGAAAACTCATCCAAATTAACTTTTAAAGTGGATTAGCTACACCACATTAACAACTTATGTGGACTCTCTCATTCAGAAAGAACAGGGCCTTAATTCAGTTTAGCTTAGTTTACTTTGGAAGTAACTCAAACGATTAAAGGCCACTTTAATTCTGAATAAGTGTCCACACTGGGCTTTGATGCAGTTTAATTCATCCATTCCAAATTCATACTTGATTGTTTCAGGTACACTTTCCCTTCCCAAGTGTCCTCAGGTAGACAAGCCATTTAGGGGAGATATCCAAATGGGAAAGGGCAGGGTATTTTGGGAGCAGTATCTCAGTGCCCAAATCTTCAGGACCCCAAATTTGACCCTGTGAACATTTAACACAAGAAGTCAGGTTTGTTCTTACAGCTCATTAACTCTTAATTCTTTGAGTAATGGGCCATATATTGGGTTCTGTGATGGCTGCTTTCTGCTGCACAGATATAAGGGAAAACCATGTGTGTGGAGGGAGGGGTGGGAGGAAGGCGTGTAAAACTTGCATAGTCATCTCTGTGCCATCCTGTCCTCTGCTCCTAAAAGCATATCCTTGACTGTTTAGGGAGTGCTGCATGGGCCAGATGACCAGGTAGTAGTCCTCATGAGAGGGAAGATGATTCAGGGCACTAGGGATTAGCATGCCACCCAACAATTTGGGAAATCAGATTTTAATGTCTTGCTCTGCCACAAATTCCCCTTGTAACCTTGACTAGGGCCCTTAGTCTCCTTTTGCCTCAGTTCTCCATATCTAAAATGAGGATACCCAACGGGTATGTTGGTAGGCTAGATATAAGCATTTCCATGATGAAGTGCCAGGAGCCAGAGGGTTCCCAGTGGCCTTTCCCTCTGAATTACTGGATGGCTAGAGAATTATACCTGTGATAGGGGATGGGGGTTGAGGAGTCTGTGCTTTCTGGTCTCCTCTGTGATTTCCAGCTTATACGTGCACCTGAACTGAAGTTGATACACTCATCCCTTTTGAGCATTTCCCTGTTGAGGGCTGATTCACTCATCTGCCTTTCTCTCAAAACGGACCTTGCTTTTCCTGCTCAGGTATGGAGCTGAGGTGGATGTTAACCACCATCTGGCCTCACGGATGCCCGGCCTGTCCTCGCGCGCCCTCACCTCCCTGGTGGTCTGCCCTTTGTACATCAGTGCTGCCTATCACAACCTCCAGTGCTTCAAGCTACTGCTCCAAGCAGGAGCCAACCCTGATTTTAACTGCTGTGGTATTATCAACATCCGGGGCTCCCCGGTTTGCATGATGGATGCTGTCCTGAGACATGGCTGTGATGCAGCATTCATCAGCCTCCTGATTGACTTTGGAGCCAACTTGAACCTAGTGGAGATGGAGGCCCTAGATACAGAATCAACAGGAAGAATCAGAGTCAACACAGAAGCCTTTCAAGTGTTCAAAGAAGCCAGGAGTAAGTAGGAGAGTCCTTGGCCACTGGCTTACCAATGCTGCAAAGAGATAAATGCAGCACACTGCATGCTGTTAAACAGACAAAGGTCTCTCCATGGCAGGTTTGAGGCAGTCCAGTGCCATAAGTACACTATGATGAGGGGTTCCACATTGCCCCCCATCATGGTCTTACCAGTGAACCATGGCTGTACCCTTCCAGGAGATGAAAGTTTCAGAGTTAAGTTGAATGAGGAATTTCATGCATCCTATAAAGCGATTGTTTTGGGATTTCTGCAAACCCCAGCAGGGCTAGGGATTCTGATCCCTCCCTGTGAGTCCAAGTGGTAGATCTAGAGTGCCTGTGGTTTCATTTAGTCCTGGATGGGATGCCTCATCAAACCCATACCTGCCATACAATGAAGGGTTTCAGAACTACTCAGTTGCATGTTCTGCTGCTGGAACTGGGACAGGCTGACGTGAATAACATGAAAGGCTTCCTCAGAATAGACGGGCGTCACAGAATTATAGAGAAGTAGATCTGCAAAGGACTTCTAGAGGTCATCTAGTCCAAACCCCTGTCTGAGGCAGGATCATCCCTATCCAAACCATCATATACAATCCATAATTTAAACTCTACATAAGACTACTATCAACCCTGACACAACCATGGCAACCAGTGTCCGACTTCTGTAAAGGGTTGTCAATATATGCTCAAGATACTCTAGATAGAGGGTCACACCTCTTGCTACAGATAGCAAAATCCCACACAGTCCATACCAATCTGACCATGGGGTAAAATTCTTTCCTGATCCCAAATATGGTGATTGGTCTGATCCTGAGCAGAGGGGCAAAACCCTCCAGCCAGGAACCTCTGGTCCCAGCAGGAGCTTTGGAACACCCTAGTCAAATTACCCAGCCTTGGCTGTAGCCAGCACCGAATGCCTCTGAAGATGGCTTAAAAGCACCCTGAGACATGTAGCAGAAAGGGGACCATTGGAGATATTTGTGCTCCTTTGGAAGTTAGGCCCAAGGGCTTATGCTGTAGGAAGCCATTAAGGCCAGCACCATTTGCAGTGTACCCAGAGAGATGCAGCTAACCCAGGTAAGACCAATGGAACCTCACTGTTCCTGGTAAAAATAGACTTGAGAAAGGCAGTAAGCCAGCTGGCAGGCATAGGACCCATAGCAGCAAAAAGAGTTCTGTGGATGTTTAGACAGATCAAGTGTTGCTGCTGGCCAGCGTTAACATTTGTGGTTGGGCTAGATGGTTGGGAAGCATATCTGGAGAGGTGGCAAACAGTGAGGGCAATCTGGATGTGAACATGTGGCTTTTGGGGAAGAGCAAAAGAGGTAGTCACTTTGAAGAGTGACCGCTAAAGGGTTAATGGAAAAAGTGACCTGAACCAAAGGCTCAGATCCAAACCTTGCTTGAGTTTGGCTAATGTTTTTTAGCACAATATGTGAAAGCCACTGTACATCCCAGTTCCAACAGGGAAGGAAGCCCCGAAGACAAAGAAGTCATTCTCACTGACTGAAAACCAGCCTTTTGCATGAAGACCTGATCAGAAGTGAGACTTCCAATCTGAATTCCAGACCAAAGAGGTTTGAATGGGATTCAGGTTCTGGGATGTGAATCCCTCCTGAAACTAGAGATTTAACATTTCTCACCTTAAACCACATTGCAAGATGAGACTCCCACAGGTGAGAGACTAGAATTGTAACAACTCAGTGTGCCATGTGGTTTCCATTAAACCCCTGCTTAGCAGGCAAAGTAGGCAGTACTGCCTGTTCAGCCCAGGTAAAGGTAGGGAAGACAGCAAAGGAGCAGCTGATTTGAAGCATCTTAGGCATACAGGAAGGCTCTTAAGTAGAGTTTCTGTTTCTTAATCAGTGCAAACACAAACAGTTACTGCTGGTGATGTTCACAGCTGTTCAGAGCATGTCTTATGTTCTACTTAATTATGTTCTATTTTGAGGGCATAGGAACATACATGATGCATGTAGGAGTTGTGTTCATTCTCATCACAGGAGTTAATTTCATCCAAAGTCTGGTTTTTATTTGCTATTGGCTGTTTAGTTCAGAGAGAAACTATGTTTAACCTTAAAATGAAATGATTAGGCTAACATTGACAGTTAGGGGCACTGAAAAAGTCCCCTGCTGAAAAGCAGCCAGATCTTCAGCTGGTGCACAAACAGCTGTAGCTCTGTTGACTTCACTGGAACCAACCTCATTTACCTCAGCTGAAGAAGTAACAGCTAGCACAGACGGCTCCCTTCCCCTGCAGCCCTGAAAAACTGCACATGAAACACAGCTGAGGCTGAGCTTTTGCAAAATGAATCATCTGATTTTGCAAAATGGATCATCTGATTCTTCCAAATTGTAGCACAGAAGCGGTTTTTTCTATGCTGAATTCCCATTGAGGTGTAGAACATGGGACAAATCCTCAATGATGGAATCAATATTGCTCCACGGAAGTCAGTAGAACTATTGCAATTTACACCTGCTGGACACCTGGCCCAGTTCAGGTTACACCTGTTGTTTTTATGCAGTTATTGCTTTCCCTCCCTCAATGTTTTTCCTTTGTCCTTTTTTGTTGTAGGCCATACCAGGAGCTTGTTGTCTCTGTGCCGTGTAGCTGTGCGGATAATACTCGGCAAATCCCGTCTGTGTCTGATACGCTCCCTTCCGGTCCCAGACCCCATCAAACAATTTTTACTTTATGAACAAAGTTAAACTGTCACCAGCTGTTTCGGGGACAGTTTTCTTTAAAAATATGAGTGATCTGGTAAAAAAAAGTGCCAATTCCAACCTCAGCCCAATTAAATATCGTATAGCTATTAGTACAAGTATGTCTGTAATGGTTCTACCTCTGTTATTGCAACTTGTAACTTGCTTCTTGGGTTTTAGCAGCATTACTATATGTTGAATTTGTACCCACTCAAGCAGTGGACTTTAAACTTCTTGTAAAGTGCAAAAGAGAGTGTCTGATCTCGTAAGTACAGGGTGCCTAACACAGCACTATTTTCCAGTCCCTATGTGCTCCAGCCATTATTGCCTGGACCTTTCTCCCTTAAGAATTTTACGATTGCTACTGTTACATAGGTCAAGGTGATGTGTTTAATTCTACTGTATATCCTGTTCCAGTGTAAAATGCATCAAGCTTCTTGCCCGATACCATATGCTTCTTGAAAAATTGCATGTGTATATAACTGTTGCAAGGTAGCTGCAGTGTCCCAAGCCATTCATTCAGCTTGTGTTGTTTGGTGTTTCCATTCTCCCATGATGGAACAGTAAAAAAAAAAAAAAAAAAAAAAAACCCCCAAAAAA